ACCTAGCAGGTGGAATGAGGTTAGCAGGGCAGGTCATGAAAGCTTAACACCCTGTTTCTGACTTGCTCTCTCTGCTTTCTGCCTGATGCTGTGAACAGTGGCTACAAGCTCCTCCTCCCGTGTCTATGGTCCTGGGTGCTCCTGCACCACTTCACCACCATCATGGACTGAAACCCTACACCAAAATTAACCTTCCCCCCACTAAGTTGTTTCTGCCGGGTAACACATTGATAAGAAATGAATACAATCACCATTTGGGAATGTGGTATGGTTAGAAGCTCATGAAAATATGCATATAACACAGTATACATATAACACACAATACATATATACATATATGGTGTATGCTATATATATACAATTAGAACTACAGTTCATCCTGGTGAATCCAACCTTTAAAAAAAAGGTTTATTCCTATTTTTCATGTAGTGTGCGTGTGTCTACACAGGTTACATCACATGGCATGTAGTGCCAACAGAAACCAGAAGAGGGCGTATGATGCCCTGGACAGGCTTCAGGGGACCACCTAGTTTGGTGTCTGGGAACTGAACCTCTGTCCTCTGAAAGAGGAGCAAGAGCTCTTAAAACACTGAGCCACCTCTCCAGCCCCTGATCCATTTTCGAAAACAATCTCACTCAAAAGAGTCAAGCTGGGTGTGGTAGCACTTGCTTATGATCTCAGCACTCTGTGTGGAGGCAGGAGAGTCAGAGATTCAAAGTCATCCTCAGTTATACAGTAAATTTGAGGCCAGTCTGAACTACATGAGACCTTGTCTTAGAGCTGGGCAGTGGTGGTGCACACCTTTAGTCCCAGCACTCAGGAGGCAGAAGTGGGTGGATCTCTGTAAGTTTGAGGGCAGCCTGGTCTACAGAGTGAGTGCCAGGGCAGCCAAGGCTACACTGAGAAACCCTGTCTCAAAAACAATAATAATGCCTATATTGCATTATTTATTTGAGGAATAAATAATGTATGCCCTCCCTGCCCCCAAAGCCAATCTCTCTAAACATTACTAAAAACCCTTCACCATTCCAAACCATTCTATATAACATAAACACTTGAATGGTAATTACCCAATTAAGACCTAATGAACTCCATAATGATAATGTTTGTGAGCAGCCTGTGATGATATGCACTGAGTGACAATTACATACATATTCCTGCAGGGCATAGTGGCTCATGCCTGGAATCCCAGCACTAGGGAGGATAAAATGGGACCCTCAAGAGTTAAAGGCCAGGGGGCTAGAGAGCTGGCTCAGTGGTTAAGAGCACTGGCTGCTATTCCAGAGGTCATGAGTTCAATTCCCAGCAATCATATGGTGTCTCACAACCATCTATGAAGAGATCTGGTGCCCTATGGAAATTTATTGGAATGATTTATAGGCTGCAGTCCAACAATGGCTAGTTATGAATAAAGTCCAAGCATCTAGTAGCTGTTCAGTCTCATGAGGCTGGGTGTCTCATCTGGTCTGCTGGGAACTTGAAGAAGGAGAGGATGTGCTGATGAGGCAAAGGCAAGCAGACAAAGAAAAAACCCTTCCTTCTTCCATTGTCCTTATACAGGCTTCCACTAGAAGCTGTGGCCCAGATTAAATTTATACCTTCCAGCCTCAAGATCTGGATCAAAGGCATGTTGTCTTCTTGCCTCAAGATACAGATCACAAGTGAGCCCCCTATTTCTGAATTATAGTTAGTTCATTTCCAGTTAGAGTCAAGTTGACAACCAAGAATGGCCATCACAGAACCCATTTCACAATAGTTCAACTTCTGATTTTTTCAATTTTATGATGGTGTGAAAGTGATACAAACTTAGTAGAAATAACTCTTCATTTCCTGAATTTTGCATATTCCCAAGGTTAGCAATATAAATCTGGGCCTTTTCTTGTGACACTGGCCAGGGCAGTGGGCTGCGGCTTCCAGTCAGCCATGGGATCACAAAGGAAAGCCGGTAAGTATATAGAATACTGCCCTGCTTGTTAGATGTTGTGATGGTTAGTTATCAATGGTCAGTTTAATAAAACTCAAGAATCACTTGAGAAGAGAGCCTTGAGGAATTGTCTATATGAGGCTGGCTTGTAGGAATGTCTGTGGAGGATTGTCTTGATTATTAATTGCTATAGTAAGACCAGGCCCCTTGAGGGCAGCACAATTCCCTAGGCAAGGGATCCTGAGCAGTATAAGAGAGAAGCAAGCAAAGGATTCTCTCTCTGATTTTGACTATGGATATTATGTTTTGAGTTCTTACCTTGACTCTCCCAGAATAATGGACTGTAAACATAAGCCAAATAACCCCTTTTCCCCCTAAGTTGCTTTTGGTCAGGGTGTTTTATCACAGAAACAGATATGAAGCAAGCATTCTATATTTCCCTTTTTTGAAGGATTTATTTTTTTTTTTGCTTATGTGTGTTTGGCAGGAGGGGGATGGTGCCCAGGGAGAACAGAAGAAAGTAACAGATCCCCTAGAGTTGGCATTAAAGGTGTTTTAAAGCTGTCTGACATGGGTGTTGGGAACTAAACTCAGGTACTCTAATAGAGCAGGATATCTCTTAACCACTGGCCATCTCTCTGACCCTAGCATTCTGCATTTCTAAGCATCATTGCTATGGATAGGATACTGAATATCCCCCAAAGGCCCATGTGGTCCCCAAGGCAGCACAGCCACAAGGTGGTGGGACCCTCAGGAGGCAGAATTTAGTGAGAGCTCACTCCACAGGGTCACAACACTGAAGAGAATCATAGTGCCCTGATCTCTTCTACATTTTTATTTTTGCTTCCTAGCATTGAGGCAAGCACTTTGCTATGTGACATGCTCTCCTGTCATTACCATCCAGCACATCTACCACAGATCCAAAGCAATGGGTCTGCCCAATCTCATATGATGTGTGTGTATATGATTTATGTGTATAGTGAGTATGTGTGTGTGTGTGTGTGTGCATGTTTGTGAGTGTTGATGCATACGTGCTATGGTAGGCATGTAGAGGTCGGAGGTCAGAGGTCCTTGCCTTACATTTTGTTGGAAGCAGGGTCTCCTGTTCAGACCTGTGCATACCAGGCTAGCTGGCTTGTGAGCCTTCTAGGAGTTTCCTGTTTCCCTCTCCCATCCAGCCATAGCACACTAGGATTATAAATGTGTGGTGCTATGTCAGCTTTACATGGGTTCTAAGAATCTGAACTCCAGTCCTCACAATTGTATGGCAAGTGCTTTATAAATTGAGCCATCTCTCCAGCCCAAATTTTCCCCTTTATAAGTTAATGATCTCAAGTATTTTATTATAGTGATGGAAAGCTAATGCAACATCTACCCTGATAACTAAGTTTTCAAAGGCATACTTCTCATTTTGTATACTAAATCAGCGTCACTACACAAGTCTAAAAAACAAGCCCAGAGTAACTCAATACTCATTCTATTTGGAATTTGAGTGATTATACGAGGTCACAATGAAAGACTAGAAGAAACTAGAGCAGGAGGCCATCCTTGCTCCCTACCTTGTATCAAAATTGTCAAGCCTCAAAATACTCTTGTAGAAAACATGGTCTTGGATGGATAGATAGATAGATAGATAGATAGATAGATAGATAGATAGAAAAAATACTCTTGTAGTTTCCTTAGTTGTAGAATAAGGCAGCTTGACTTAAAGAGCCTTTTATAAAGCTAAAATTTCAACTGCCTCAAATGCCCCCACAAAACATGAAATGTAGACTTTATTTAGGCTAACACAATAAACAGTGACTCAAAAGATGGAATTGAAGCTGGATGTGGCGGTGAATACCTTTAATCCCAGCATTTGGAAGGCACAAGCAGGTGGATCTCTGAATTCTGGGCCAGCCTGGGCTACACAGCAACTTCCAGACTAGTCAGGTATACATGGTAAAATTCTGTCTGCAAAAACAAACAAAACCAAAACAAACAAACATGGAGTCAGATTATCTACTGCACGGCTCTTATTTACTAGCATTGTGATGCTTCACTTTGTCAACCCGAATGGATTTAGAATCACCTTGGAGACACATATCTGCGCATGTCTGAATGTGGTGGCACCATCCGTGGCTGGGGTTCTGGATTGAAGGAAAAGGAGAAATGGAGCTGAGCACCATCCTTCATCTCTGTGCTTCCCAACCTGGATGGGATTCAGGGAACATGCTTGTACCCAGCAGCCTCCAGCTCCCTCTTCCATGTCTTCCCTGCAGTAAGGAATGACATCTCTTCACACCACAAGCTGAAATAAACCTTCCTTCTTTAAGGATTTTGTCATCGATTTATATCACAACAATGGTAAAGTAACACACAGACACGGGTGTGCACCTGTCATTTATCGTAGACAGTATATTTTTTTATCCATCCAGACTAAGATTCTTCAAAGAAGAAACTGTCCCTTGTAAAGAGTTGGAGTCTAGATAAAACACAGCCAAGTTTTCCCTTGTTTGCTTATTTTTGGCTATGGGTACCCAGAGGTATACACTCAGGGACTGGTGCATAAGGAATACTTGTTTTCCATGAAGGCTGTTCTTGCATTGTCAAGTTGTCTCTTAGGAGATATATTTAATTTACAATTATCTTCCTACTCCATCCCCTTGCTCCCCCATAACAGAACCTGTGTTGTGAACTATTCCTTTATACTGTGTGAAGATGTGTCTCTCTGATTGGTTTAATAAAGAGATGAATGACCAATAGCTAGGTAGGAAGAGGTTAGATGGGACTTCTGGGGACAGAGAGGACTGGGGAAGAAGAAAGGGGGAGTCACCAGCCAGACACAGAGGAAGTAGGACATGCAGGAGAGGTAAAAGCCAGGGTCACGAAGCAACATGTAGACTAATAGAAATGGGTTATTTTAAGTTATAAGAGCTAATTAGAAACAAGCCGAAGCTAAGGCCAAGCTTTCAAAATTAACACGAAGTCTCCATGGCATTATCTGGAAGCTGGCTGGCAGGACAGAGAAAGACTCATTACAAACCTGTAGCCATGCAACAAATTAAAAAACAAGGACGTCCAAGTCATGAGGGCTCTGTGAACAACTGGACTATTTAATGGCAAATAACTCAGCACAGATGTGAAATCAGGAGTTTTGCAAGTTCACCTGCACAGACAGCACCTTACAATCAAGGGATTGTGAGCTGAAATCCCTTAAATTTCTGTCTATACTGAAAGTTCTGCCATTGCTTGACTAGAACATGGTGTGAGAGATCAAATGTTATAGATTCCAAGATAAAATTACCTTGGGGCATCTTGGGCCTTTTTGTAGCCATTTACTAGCCTTTATTTCCCTTTTTTCCTTTTTAGTTTTTATTCATAATCATAAACTTCACTCTGCAAACCAGATAGGCTTGGAGGGGAACCCAAAGAACTTCAATGAGAGTGGAGATCACCGGGTATTTCAAGCAGATAGTGTGGGGGACTCTCCTGTGCTACAGAAAGAGTGGTCTGGTGTGTAAGATGCCTGAAAGTCAAAAGAATTAGAGTTGTCCACAGTTGGAAATGGTTATCTTCTTACTGGACTTGCCATTCCTGGACCCAAAATGCTGGATGGCTTCCATGATGCTCATGCCTTCTTTCACCTTTCCAAAGGCCACATCTTTCATCCAGCCACACTCAGTTTTGGCTGTGGGAGAAAAAGAAAAATGGAAAAAACCCAACAAACCAACCAACAAACAAACAAACAAAAAGAACCCCAAACAAAAAAGAAAAAAAAAACAAACAAAACTGGGAATCATTTGTGTTTGGTCCAGCATTTGCCATGGACAAGATGCCAGGACCCGTATTCTTCAGGATGAAGTTCTCATCTTCAAATTTCTCCCCACAAACAGATCTGCCACCAATGACACTATGGCATGTGAAGTCACCACTTTGGCACATGTATCCTGGAACAATTCTATGAAAGGAGGGACCCTTATATCTAAATCCTTTCTCTCCAGTGCTCAGAGCACAAACGTTTTCTGCTGTCTTTGGAACTTTGCCTGCAAACATATTGAAGGAGACATGCTGAGATGTTGAAGAACACGGTGGCATTGAGCATGACTGCAGGAAGAGGCGAAAGTGGACAGTAGTGCCTACAAAGTCTGTTTCCCTTTTTAAAAATCTTCATTTTTGAGACAGGATCTCATGTAGCCTAGACTTCCCTCAAACCCTTTATGTAGCCTAGTCTGGCTTTGATCTTCTGCCTTTGCCACGGAAGTGCTGAGGTTACAGGCATGTGGTGCCCTATCCGGTTTATACAGGGCTCAGGATCTAACCCAGGGTTTCGTGTGCAGACTAGGCAAGCACTCTGCCAACTGAGCTACTTGCCCTGCCCCCATCTTTATTGTTACACTTAGCTTTATTCTCAGGCTTATTGTGTAAGCCCTTTACAGTATATTACTATGCTCAGTGGACCTCTAGCTCCCACCAACCCTGAAGCTAAGAGTACTCTTACATTGAACCTATGGAAGAGATTGATTCTCCCTGCCATATGCCTCTTACCTGACATTCCCACCAAAGGAACTCTGCTAAATCCATCGATTTATGGCTCTCTCTTGTCCAGCAACTATAAAAGTCCACAAAAGGTCAGTGAGATGGCTTGGTGGGGAAACACTTGCTGAGCAAGTCTGAACACATGAGTTTGATGCCCGGAACCCACGTAAAGGTGAAAGCAGAGAACTGACTCCACAACGTTGTCCTCTGGCCTCCATAAGAATGCTACCCACATACACATCATACACACGGACAAACTAATAATAATTCTAAAAAACATTGCAACTGGTTTCAAAGTGGACCATGCATTTAGGGCAGTGAATCTGAGCATTGCTGGGCAATACTCACTTATATTTGATTCAGAATAAACTATTTCCTTATTTCCTTTAAGGCAGTGTTTACTGTCCACTGGGTCAAATATGTAAACCACCACAAGAGCACAAGACAAGGGCTGGGTTGCCCACTTCATAATTTCTGCCAGGGCAGGGGCAGCAGTCTGACTGAATGTGGGGGTCAGGGCAGTTCTTTAAAAGTTGCATCTACACAGCAAAAAGACTTACTATATTGCCATCATTCCTTCTTGTAGTGTTATCTTGGGTGCAGGACAGGTGATCCTGACCTAGGTCAAGGAGACTCTAGAGTAGACATGAGACTTCCTACAGAGGGTACACGGCAGAGACAGCACTCCAGGCAGAAAGTGGTTTGCCGTGACCCAACCTCTATGAAGGACACAGACTTAGTTGCAGAGGTTGGAGAGATGGTTTAGCCTACACCACTGTACTGTTCTTGCTGAGGACCTAAGTTCAGTTACCGGCACCCACATCGGGGAGCATACAATTCCAGCTCCAACATGATCAGCTGTCCTCTTCAGGCCTCCAAGGGCACCTGCATGTACATATTAATACAGAAATCCACATAATTAAAAATATGTATTTTTTAGGATTTGAATTGCTCTTCAGATCCACAAGGCGCAAGAGAACCTAATCCTCAGTTATTTACAACAAAAAGCCCTTGAGATACTGCCAACACCTCATACCTGGGCCATGGCTCAGGAACATGTACATATATATATATACACTTTTTTATTCTCCCTTAAAGAAAGGAGTAGGACGCCCACCCAGTTCCACAGGCACACCCTTGCGCTGACATGTGGCGGCCTCACCGAAGTGACAGCAGCTGTTCAGACACAGCCTCCCAACGCGCGCTGAGCTCTGCGCCTGCGCCCGCCACCTGCGCGGCCGCGCTGCGCAGGCGCCCTGACCACTTCCGGGATCTGTCAGCCGCTCCTTCTGGGCCTCCCTCCTCCGTCCGCGCCCGCCGGAGCCTGTTCGCGTCGACTGACCAGAGTCCGCGAATCGTTCGCTCCGGCTCTCCGGACCGCCCAGATCCCAGGTAAGGGGCTGCAGGGCCGAGCGCCTGGCCCGGGTCGCCTCCATTTCTCGCATCTTCTATGGGACGCGGGGGCGGCGGGCCCGGGGCACCTAGGCACCGGGTCTCGACCTGAGGGGGCCCGCATCTCCGATCTTCATGGTGACCCCTGAGTCCCTGGTGCCCCCATACACACAGATCGAGCGTTTCTGAGCACTTTCCGGCTGCCCTCCGTCTCGGATGAGAGAATCGACAGCTTGGCCTCCGACACCCTCACAGTACCATTTGCCCCCCTACTGTGAGCATTTTACCACAATCTGTAAAATTGGTTCAGACCGGGCAGATCTCCCCCGAAGGCTTGTCATGAAGGCTTGCCATCTCTTCAACGTCTAGGATGTTGATTAGACCAGCCTGTGATCCGTCAGTTATTGGGGGACCCTACCCAACAAGAGAAAAGCCATCTTTGGAGTAACCTTAAGATTCCTCTGTTCTTGCCCCCTCCCGCGCCCAGTCAAAGTTGCACCTCCTATTCACTGCATGGAGTCCTTTATGTAGGACCGCCAAAGTTCTCATTTGACTCTGCCACTTTTTCCGGATGACCCTGGGAAGGTTGCTTCTTGGTGTCTTGGTTTCCCCAGCTACAATAAGTAGATTCTTAGTCTACTTAGTTTTTATTAGGTCAAAGTGAGTTTATTTGCTTAAGTTGCTTACAGTAATTCCTGGCCCAGAGTAGCTGTTCAAATAATATGAAAATAAAGGCTTCTTAGACGTTCTACAAATATCTACCTTCCTTCCCTTTGTTCTCTTTCTTCAGACTTGAAGACTAGCATTTATTTATGCTTCTGACCTCATTCAAATACTCAACATTGTTGGGAACCTGGTAGGCACTTAATAAATTGTAGCTTAGGATCTCTGATTATAAAGCCATCTGTTGTCATGCTGTGGCTTGGGAGTCTCCCTCCTATCTACTTGTTGCCCAATTTACTGAAATGACCTAGTTTGCACGCTCTTTTATCAATTTTATTTAATCTTTTTTTGTTTGTTTGTTTTTCAAGAGGGAGTTTTCTCTGTGTAACAGCTCTGGCTGTCCTGAAACTCTTTGTAGACCAGACTGGCCTCAAACTCACAGAGATCCACCTGGTTCTGCCTTCCGAGTGCTGGGATTAAAGGCATATGCCACCATATTCAGTCAGGTTCACTTAATCTTTTTGTTTCCATGTTGGCCTTAGGAATTTGGGTCTCTAGAAGTTACCAGTTTGGGGTGTTTGCCCTGTTAGAGTGAGTCTTGGTGGCTACTTCCTACCACACAATATCTGGGGGCCTTCTCCAGTTTATCTGCTGTATCCAACTGGGGGATCCTGGAAATTGCAAACTCCCTCAGAAGATGGGTGACAGTGTTTTGATCTAAATATCTAGGGTTACATCAAAACAAATTGAGTACAGGAAGTATAGAATGGTCTGATGAAGCTGGAATTTGGAGTGAAGCCTGTCCGAACATTGGTAGGGTGTGGTGACCTTGTTGGAGTAGCTCGAGTTGCTGGGTGGGTTGGGTAATGAGAGCGATTCGAAACTAGATGAATCACAGACTTGATATTGACCCTAACAGGGAATGGAAATTTCAACTTACGTGAATTTGTCAAGCACCAGTGGAGCGGGGCCAAGAAACTAACATATATCAATGTTTTCAAGTTCAGAGGGTCTTTCTAGGGGTGTCCCCAAGCTTTGTGTCAGAGGAAGAAAGAGAAGTAATTTACTGAGCTACCAAGATGGCTCTACCATTAAAGGCTAGGCTTACAACCAAAAAGACCACAGAACTAGTCTACTGAGATCAATTTTGGGCTGGTTTTGGATTGACATGCTTTTATGTGCTATCTCATTTAATCCTTCTGACACACAATAGTGTGGTGTCACTTGGAGACCTACATTACAGATGAAAAGTGACTTACCCAGCATCTCATTATGTATGTGTCAAAGCCAAGATTCTAACTCAGGTCTCCTTGTCTCCAGAGCCCATGGCTAACCATCCTTTAAAATGACTCCACTTGAAAGTTGGGATTAGTGTTGAGTTGGTAGAGCACTTGCATGGTGCGCATAGTGCCGAGGTTGGCTCACCAGCACCACAGGAAGAAAAGACAGTACTAAGTGGTAATTGAAGAGAGTGGGAACCTATGGAGTCATCCTATTTCTTCATCCTTCATTGCTAGACATGGACAACAGAAGCCTGGTTTTTGTTTGAGACAGGGTCTTAGTCCTGGTGGTCCTAGAACTCAGATCTTTCTGCCTCTGCCTCCTAAGTACCTGGCAAAATCTGTGCAGTACAATGTCATCACCTGTGGTGTTCCCTTTTCTCCTCATGAGTCTTGTTAAGATCAAACATGGCTTAAATGTCACCTGCAATGTAGAGATTAAAATTACTAACATATACATGAAGGTTTACCTTACATGGTAAAAAATTCAGGCTTAAAATAGCCAAATGATTATAAAGGAAAGACTGTGTAGCAGGCTTTCTCGACTGCCAGGCCCCAAACTATGACACGGAGACTTATTATTAGTTATGAATGGTCTGCCTTGGCTTGGGCTTGTCCCACTAGCTCTTGTAACTTAATTTAACTTGTTTCTCTTTATCTGTGTTTTGCTTCAGGGCTTTTTACCTTTCTTTCATTCTGTATGCCCTACTTTTTTGCTTCCTCTGTGTCTGGCTGGCCCCTGACGTCTCCCTTTCTTTCTCTCTAGTTCACTCTCCTCTTGAGCCAGGATTCCTACTCCTACTTATTCTCTCTAGCTAGCCCCGCCTATCCCTCTACTGCCTAGTTATTGGCCATTCAGCTTTTTTAAAAACCAATCAGGTGCCTTAGGCAAGCAAGGTGAAACAGCAACATATCTTTACATAATTAAATAAATGCAGCCAGGTGTTGGTGGTGCATGCCTTTAATCCCAGCACTCAGGAGGCAGAGGCAGGCAGATCTCTGTGAGTTCGAGGCCTGCCTGGTCTCCAGAGTGAGTGCCAGTATAGGCTCTAGAGCTACACAGAGAAACCCTGTCTCAAAAAACCAATAAATAAATAAATAAATAAATAAATAAATAAATAAATAAATGCAGCATAAACAAATACAATTTATCTTTACATACTAAGCAATGCAGCATAAGCAAATGTAACACAGCTTTACATAGTTAAAGTAATATTCCACAACAGACATATCCGGGTTTTTTTTTTTCTTTCCAAGACAAGATCTCTCTGTAGCTTTGGAACCTCTGTAGACCAGGCTGGCCCTGAATTTACAGAGATCCTCCTGCCTCTGTCTCTGAAGTAGTGAGATTGAAGGCATGTGCTACCACTGCCCAGCGAGCAGCAAGTGCTCTAACCACTGAACTTTCTCTCTCCCCCTACCCCAACAAGATGTTGTTTTGGGTTTAATATTTGACAAAATTAGAATAAGCATATCAGATTTCAGAGACAAGGAGAGATTGCATGTAGTGTGCATCTGGAGGTTTTGTTTTGTTTGTTTGTTTGGGACATGCCCAGTTATTTTTTTGTATGTATGAGTGTAAGTGCACATGTGTCATGGCATATATGTGGAGATCAGAGTACAGCTTGGTTTTCTCCTACCATGTGGGGTCTAGGCACTGAACTCAGGTCATTAGACTTGGCACTAAGTACCTTTACTCACTGAGTCATCCATCTTACTAGCCCTTGGTTGTTACTTCTGAGACAAGGTTTCTCTGTGTAATTCTGACAGTAGTGAGCCTCCTGCTCTGTCTTCTGAGTATTGAGATTGCAGGCATATACTGTCTTGAAATTAGTTTATATTTGTTTAGAGTTAGAGTCTTTATATGTAATCTTGAATCTGAGAACTCACTATGTAGATCAGGCTGGCCTAGAACTCATAGAAATCCAACTGCTTCTGCCTCCCCAGTGCCAGGATTAAAGGCATGCACTTCTATACCCAGTTGAAAGTTTGTATTTAAAAGTAAATTAAGCAGTCTCACGTGAATTCATTTTTTTTTTTGTAATTTCTAAGTAAGCCTAGCATATGCAAAGTGCTGAATTCTTTACTTTGCACCAAAAAATGTAAATAAGGAGCTAGAGGGATGGCTCAGCATTTAAGAACATACACTGCTCTTGCAGAGGACCCACATTTGATTCCTAGCACCATTATCAGTCAACTCATAACTGTCTGTAACTCCAGCTCCAGATGATTCACCCTCTTCTGGCTCTTGCAGACACTGCACTTGGGTATATAAACTCAGACAGACAGACTTACCCCAATACACACACACACCCACACACACACACACACACACACACACACACAATTTTAAAATGTTAAAACCTTTTTTTAAACAGTAAGTTAATTAAGATGAAAGTCAAATTAAAGGCTCTTTGAGTCACAATTTGCTTTCTAGAACATAAAAAAGTAAAAATTGCAATAACAAATATTTCACTTTTTTTTGTTTTGTTTTTTTTTTTGAGACAGGGTTTCTCTGTAGCTTTGGAGCCTGTCCTGGAACTTGCTCTGTAGACCAGGCTGGCCTCGAACTCACAGAGATCTGACTGCCTCTGCCTCCAGAGTGCTGGGATTAAAGAGGTGTGCCACCAATGCCCAGCTTTTGGCTTTTTGAGACAGTCTCATGTAGCTCAGGCTGACTTTGTATTTGCTGTGTAGTTGAGGATGACTTTGAATTCCTGATCCTTTTGTCTCCACCTCCAAAGTCTTGGATTTACAGGTGTGTACCACCACATCCACCAAATATCTTCACTCTTGAGTAGAGTGTCAGTTGAAGGTAGATATCAGGTACTTTTTAGTTTTTCATCTTTGGATTCCTTGAGCAGAGTGTTTCTTTTCCATGCCACAGGCACTCATAGTTTTGCTGATTGGGTTCACCTGTTGTTTGCCTTGCAACTTTACAGGGTCTCTTCTGTTCATTTTCTGCTGGTGCCAGAATTCCTATCTCACTGGACATGGTGGCACATGTCTGCAATTCTTCCAACATTCAAGAAGCTAAGGCAGGAGAATTGTTAATTGGAAGCCAGCCTGGGCTACATAATAAGACCCTGTCATAAATGAAGAGACATTAATCACACAGCATTTGGGAGGCAGGGGCAGGAGGCTCTCTATGAGCTTGAGGCCAGCCTGATCTACATAGTGAGTTCGAGGCAACCAAGGCTACATAGTGAGAAGAAAGGACATTCCATCCCAAACACATGATCAGTTAGTTTATCTCCTGGTGGCTACAACATGATCTTACCTAAGGCAATACCATTATCATAGCTAGGAAATTAAGATAATTTCATGCTGTTATATAATAATTGAGCTCAAATTCAGATTTGTTACACAATGCATGTCTTCTGTGGTTATTTTTAAACATGCCAATTATAATCAACTGTCTTTTATGAAATTTGATTTTCATAGCTCTTTTTGAAATCTGGTACAGACTCTTCCTTCTGCCGCCCAAGTGCTTGGATCGCAGCTGTTGACTACCGTACCTGCCCTTGTTGCCTTGTAAAATAACCCGGGCAAGTTGTTCTCTAGAGGGCCTCTCTAGGATTTTTAATTTAGTGAGAAAAAGAGAGACAGAAACAGAGTGTGTGTGAGTATGTGTTTATGTGTGTGTACATGCATGGGAATGGGCCAAGGACAGCCTTGGGTGTCAGTCCTCCCCTTCTACCCTGTTTGAGACAGAGGCCCTCTGGAGAGTCTCCTGCCTCCATCAGTAGGATCATTAGGACCACAGAGGCATGAGCTTCTGTTTCCAGCTTTCCTTGAGTGTTTGGGGATTGAAGCTCAGGTCATCTGTCTTGTTTAACGAGCGCTTTAACCGCTGAGCATCTCCAAAGATCTCCATCAGTTTTGACTTCATTTCTTGGTGTTACTTAAGGACTCCTTCTCCCTTTATTTCCCATAAATTGAAAATGAGATCCAGATCTCAATTGGATTTAGAGTAAATATGTTGGGCATATTTGCTTCATAGCTTCATAACTGGGTTGATCATCTTCCAAGGTTTATCTAGGATGGTCCTGTAACTTCTTATTATACCGACTGACGTTTTCTTTTAAGGCAGAGTCTTTCTCTGTTTCCCAGACTGTCCTAGAACTTTCTATGTAGATCAGGCTGGCCTGAACTCCTTGAGTTCCTCTTGCCTCTGCTCAGTCTAAGGATGTGTGCCACCTCACTTGGTAGGTTTAACCCCTGTTCTTTTTCCTTCTTTCTTCACTGGGGATTGAACCCAGGGCCTTCCACATTCTAGGCAACCACTATAACATTAAACTACATATATATCCCCAGTCCTTTCCACCTTGACTATCTGTTTTGTTCTTACAAGTATCCTGGTGTAGATGACAAATTATGTGCTGGTCATGGTCCAGGAGGACTGTTGGGTTAGATTGCTCTGCTCCTGTTTGTAGTTGCAGGTTTGATCACTTGGTCAAGATGGTGACTACCCAATTTCTCTATTGTAAAGGCGTGTTTCCTTGTAATTGGTAAGTCCTATGTAGAATGGTAGTTTGAGACTGAATGTCCCACCTGTTCCATCCCAGTCTTTAACCTGTGATTTCAGAGTCCATTGATGACCCTTGAGAATAGATTCTACACTGATAGTTACAGTGCTGGCTCTAGTTATGGGATTAGTTTTTCACTGAGATTGAGTCTTGTTTAGTGGGAGAGCAATATTGTATCTATCCCCAAATAGTTTGGGTTCCTCTGACAGCTTGAACGCTCATTGAAAGTATTTTCTTTCCTCTTGCTCATTACAGCTTTCTGACCTTTGAAAACACTTAAGAATCATGTCTCTGCATCAGTTTCTGCTAGAGCCAATCACCTGTCACGCCTGGAACAGGGATCGTACCCGTAAGTGTGCTTTGAATTTGCTGCTACTTTTGGGTGGGGGTGGGGTGTGTGGAGGCCAGAAGTCCATGTCAGGTATCGTCCTTAATTGCTCCTCACCACCCTTTGTTTTTTTTGAGACAGGTCTCTCACTGCACTTGGAGCACTTCAGTTTGGCTAGACTGGCCTGCCAGAGGCCTTTGAGCTCCATGTGTCCTCTTCTCCACCCCCACCACCATGCCGAGGTTATAGACATATGCTGCTACAACCAGCTTTTACATTGATTTGGGGCGTCAAGCTCAGATCCTCCTGCTGTTATGGCAAATACATACTAACTGAGCAACTGAGCTGTATTTCCAGCCCCTAATTTTGCGCGTGCATGCGTGCGTGCGTGCGTGTGTGTGTGTGTGTGTGTGTGTGTGTGTGTGTGTGTGTGTATGTGTATGGAACAGCATTGACCCCAGTATCTCTCCAATGCTAGACAAATACTCTGTCATAGAGTTACATCTTTAGCCCCCTTTTTAGTACTTTCGATACTTCTCACATGTAGGCATTTTTAGAATTTACATATTTTAGTTTTATGAAAAAATATAAAATTTACCCTTTTAAAATATATAAATCTGATATTCATTGAGCTATGCACTAGTCATTTTGTCTGATTTCAAATTTCAGATTGAGTCTTCTATTTTTTGATGTTTTGAGACGGGGTTTCTGTTTTTTTGTTTTTTGTTTTTGTTTTTTTTTTCCCCGAGACAGGGTTTCTCTGTGTAGCTTCGGAGCCTATCCTAGCACTCGCTCTTGTAGACCAGGCTGGCCTCGAACTCACAGAGATCCGCCTGCCTCTGCCTCCCAAGTGCTGGGATTAAAGCATGTGCCACCAATGCCCGGCTATTGTTTGTTTGTTTGTTTGTTTTTTTGGGGGGGAGACAGGGTTTCTGTATGTAGCCCTGGCTGTCCTGGTACTCCCTCTTCAGACCAGGCTGGCCTTTCCTGAGTGTTGGAATTCAAGGTGTGGGTCACCACTAACTGGCTCAGATTGAGTTTTCTTAATAGGAAAAATACATTGAAATGTTTAGAGATCCAAAAATTTTTGAATACCAACATGATGGCCAAAAATTTTGCATTTTGGCTAGTTGTGGTGGCTCATCCCTGAAATCCCAGCACTTGGAAAGCTGATGCAGGAATTCAGGACTTACCTGAATTTTACTGAGTGAGACTCTATCTGTGAAAAAAGAGAAGAGGCTGGGACCTAGCTCAGTGGAAGATCTTTACAGTCCTGATTCTCTGGATTCAAACTCCAGCACTGCAGGTAATAACAATGGAGTTAACAGTCCTGCTTATTTCCTTCCCTAGAGATCGCCCTTAGCCCCAATAATCACGAAGTGCACATCTACAAGAAGAATGGGAGCCAGTGGACTAAAGCTCATGAGCTGAAGGAACACAACGGACACATCACAGGTAATGTGGCCGCTAACTAAGTGTGCTGTTTCCAAATGAAGCACTCTCCTGTGTAAGTAAAGAGCCTCTTCCCTCCCTCCCTCCCTCCCTCCTTCCCTCTCTCCTTCCCTCCCTCCCTCCCTCCTAGGTGTTTTTTGAGACAGGGTCTCTCTATGTAGCCCTGGCTGTCTTAGAAGTCACTGTGTAGACCAGGCTGGCCTTGAACCTACAGAGATCTGCCTGTCTCTGCCTCCTGAGTCCTGGGATTAGAGGCACCTGGCTAAGTTGTTCAGTATTTTGGAAAGTCATTCTGGCTCCTAAAACAACACAAAGGAAGATGTGTCCCACAGCAAAGACAGTCGACCTCAAATTTCCTTGATGCTCACACTTCACAAAGTCTAGCTCTGGCTTTCCTGGTTCATCCCATTTGCAGAGCAGGTTTGGAGCTCTCTATATACTACTAGAGTGCTATATAACACCTGGGCCACGAGAGCCATATAATGATTAGTTATTATTTTCTTTGTACATCTTTTGAGGTCCTTTGAACTCAGACCCATTTTCTAATGGCATCTTTTAGATCTGAAGAACTTGGAGAAGTCTAACTATACCTCTAGCAGACCTAGGATTAACAGTGTTTTCAGACAGGAAATATTTGGGGGGGGGCACCTGAAAAAAATGTAGAAAAGCCTGTCAGCATTTCATAGAACAGAGTGTAGCATATGGCAGAGTTCTAGAGTATTCTTTGAGTTTATTCCTCAGTGTTAATTACTTGATCACCACTACTTTTTTTTTTTTTTTGACAGGGTCTCATGCCCTAGATGGCCTGGAACTCTCTATGTAGACCAAGTTGGCCTTGAACTCATAGAGATCTGTCTATCTCTTCCTCCTGATGGCTGCTCAGCTAGTTCTTAAAAATGTTTTTATGGGTTGAGAAGACAACTCAGTGGATAAAATGTGAGGACTGCAGTTCAGATCCTCAGATCCCACATAAATGCCGAGCAGGCTGCTGCCCATAATCCTAGCTTTCTGAAGGAAAGCGTCGGGGATCTCCAGCACAAGCTAGGTAGTTAGACTAGCAGGAACTGGTGAGCTTTGAGTTCAGTGAGATCCTGCCTCAATAAATAAAGGTGGAGAATGATCAAGAAAAATACCCGCTGACAACTTTGAGCCTCCATGGGCATGTGGGAACGTGTGCAAAGACATATGCAAAAACAGAGCAAACCCAACCAAAACTATTTTATTATAGAAATCTTAAGTGATAAAAAAAAAAAAAGCAGCAGCAATAGCTAGACACAGAGGCGCCTGTAATCCAACACTAGGAGGCAGAGGCAGAAGGATCAGGAGTTTAAAAGTATCCTCAGCTTCATAGTGAATTCAAGGCCCACCTGGGCTTCTTCATACCCAGGCCCAAAAGAAAGCACAGAAATCCCCAGTTCTGTTCTAGCTGGCTTCTTAAGGATCCTAAGTCCTCCCAGACACTTGGGAGAGAAACAGCCTTTTATGTGAGGTGATAGCTACAGATGAGACAAGCGTGGGAGGAAACCAACAAGCCTACTGTTACCCTTGCCCAGGTCTCTCTGCCAATAGCTCAGTCACTTGTCATTGGCCAGGTGCAGCAAGTGATCTGTACTTCACTTGCAGGTATTGACTGGGCCCCTAAGAGCGACCGCATCGTCACTTGTGGGGCAGACCGCAATGCCTACGTCTGGAGTCAGAAAGATGGCATCTGGAAGCCCACCCTAGTGATCCTGAGAATTAACCGAGCTGCCACTTTTGTGAAGTGGTCCCCACTGGAGAACAAGTTTGCTGTGGGGAGTGGGGCCCGGCTCATCTCTGTTTGTTACTTTGAGTCTGAAAATGACTGGTGAGCATCGCTGTGCCTTCTCTTATTTCTCTCTGTATAGTTCATGCTTGGATGTCTGTGCTCTTGGGAGGACCCTGTTGAGGTTCTGTGCTTAGCTGCAGTGGCCCCTTTCTAGGCCAGAAAATGGTTTCTCTCTGAATTCCTCCTCCCTGGATAAATGTTCATCCTGTGCACACAACTTATTTCCCACATTTTTTAATCTTCTTTTCCTCTTTTCCTTCCCTTCCTTATTCCCCTACTTCCTTTTTTCTGTTATTTCCTCCCACCCTTCATTGTCTCCTTCAGTCTCTTCATTTCCATCCTTCCCTTTCTAGCCCCTGACTTTTCTTCATTTCTATAAGAAACATTTCCTCCTGGCTGAGCTTCAACCACAGTAACTGTTTACTGTTTGTGTTCATTGAGAGATTGCCTCCTGTGTAGATAAATTAAACCTTACTGCAGTCTCAGATGTGGTCTTTGAAAATAAGCTGTATATTCAGTGAAGTTTCATCAGGCCAGGGGTGGTGTACACACCTGTGATCCTAGCATTCAGGAATTTGAGACCAGTCTGGGCTATGTAGCAAGTTAAAGATCAGTCTGAACCATGTATAGGAAGCTCTTGTCTAAGAGAGCAAGCATATGGACCACCCTTCATCAGGAGCAGCTGTGCATTGTAGGTAGCCCACAGAAAAGGACTCAGGTGGACATCAAAGGACATCAGATAAATCATTAGAACATTAAAAATAATTGTATTTATGGGACTTGGTTCAATAAATGTAACTAACATTTCTTATGGATTCCAGAATTTAAACTGTATTTATAAACATGTAGTTTAGCTATTTGATTTGAAGTGGGTTTATTGGGATTTTTGTGAGGACAGTGGAAACTAATTTTTTGTTTTTTGTTTTTTGTTTTTCTTAGGTGGGTGAGCAAGCACATTAAGAAGCCGATTCGCTCCACGGTCCTCAGCTTGGACTGGCATCCCAACAACGTTTTGCTGGCTGCAGGCTCATGTGACTTCAAGTGCAGGTAGGGATAAGGGAGCCCTGAGACTCGAGCTGCTTTGACAGGTGTCCATGGGCTTCCTTTCTTTGTAAGGCTCTATAATATAGCACTGTGAAGGACTCAATAATGAAGGGAACTTGTGGGCTGGAAAGGGAGCTGGGGTGGGGGTGTGGCTCAGCAGGCAGAGTACCTGTGTAGCTTGTACAAGACCCTGGGTCCCATCCCCCAACACTGTGTAAGCCAGGCATGATGCTGCATGCCTGTAACCCTAGCACTCTGGATGTAGAGGCAGGGAGATCAGAAGTTCATGGTCATTCTTGGCTACATAGTGATTTTGAGGCCAGCGTAGTCTGTTTGAGACCCCATCTCAAGAGAAAGAGAAAGGGAGGGAGGGAAAGAAGGAGGGAGGAAAGCAAGTGAGCTAGTGAACTGATGCACAGCGATTAAAGGAACAAGTAGTAATGGATATGATGGAGTTGGCCCCGGGGTCAGCAGGGGCTATAGCATGTCAGCTGGCACAGCAAGTCATCCAGGCCAGGGCTCTTTAGGCAGAGTGTCAGGAGTTCCAAGGGCAGGAGTAACCTGTTCTGTGCCTATCTGTCTGTCTCTCTCTTTCAGCCTGTTTTTTTCTCATTTTTAAAGATAGATTCATTTTATTTATCCATGTGCATGTATGTATGTGTGTCTGGCAAAGGCCAAGAAAGGATGAAAAATTCCCCAGGAGTTAGTTACAGGCAGTGTGAGCCCCTGATACAGGTGCTGGGAACCCAACTCCAGTCCTCTGTGAGAACTGCAAGTACTTTTCACCACTGAACTGTCTCTCCAGTCCCATTCCTGGGGTGTTGTGTTGTTTTAAGAATTATTTATTATGTATACAATGTTCTGCCTGCATGTATGCCTACAGGCCAGAAGAGGGCACCAGATCTCATTACAGATGGCTGTGAGACACCATGTGGTTGCTGGGAATTGAACTCAGGGCCTCTGGAAGAGCAGCCAGTGCTCTTAACCTCTGAGCCATCTCTCTAGCACCCCACCCCCATTCCTCAGTTTTTGATAGAAGAAGTTTGAAACATGGACTCATATAGCCCAGGTTGGTCTGGAGCTCACCATCCTCCCTCGCCTTCCCCATTGTGCTGGAATTACAAGCATGTACCTTCATGCCTGCCAGCCTGTCTTTCTTGACCACAATTTCAGTTCCTCATTTTGTATCCCAGGCCATAGACTGCAGACTACAGAGTGAACCTGAGATTAACCAAAGGCTCCTGAATGGTATACTGCTGAGCTGTTACTGCACTGTCCTTACAGTTAAAGTGTTTTATTTCTCATCGACCCAAGGCTACAGGGAACACAGCCATGCTGCTAAGAGATTTAATAATCATACCATGGAATTGCTTTTTAAATGTTGTTCTTTGCCAGGCAGTGGTGGTACACACCTTTAGTCCCAGCACTTGGGAGGCAGAGGCAGAGGCAGGAAGATCTTTGTGAGTTCAAGGTTAGCCTGGTCTATAGAGTGAGTTCCAGGATAGCCAGTGCTGTTACACAGAGAAATCATGCCTCAGAACACTGGAACCCCCACCCCCCACCCCCGATAAAAGAGATTAAAAGTTGTTCTTCATTGGGGCCTTTTCCCCTTAGCAAAAAGAAAAGCAAATATTACTGTTTTGTGTTGACTCTCTGGCAGTAGAGTTGAGACACATCCATGTTTGGTACCTATGTGAAAAATTTCCAGAAAACTTGGCCAGAGATTTATATTTAGGAATTCGGGGTTTAATTACAAAACAAAAAACAGAGCTGGTGTGACTCAGTGGTAGAGTGCTTGCCTAGAATCCCTCAGTGGGGAGCTTGGAAGTATGGTTTAACAGCAAAGTGTTTGACTGGAATTCTCCAGTGTGAGGACCTGGAGGCATGGCTCAGTGGTAGAGTACTTGCCTGGCATGTGGTAAAGCCCAGGGTTCAATCCTTAGCGCTGCAAATAAAGAAAAAACTAAGAAGAAAAAATAAGATGGGCAGAGGCAGGCGGATCTCTGTAAGTTCGAGACCAGCCTGGTCTACAAGAGCTAGTTCCAGGACAGCCTCCAAAGCCAGAGAGAAACCCTGTCTCCTCGAAAAAAACAAAAAACAAAAAAATAAAAAAATAAGATGGAGTTATGGTAGTCTTGGGGCTTTATGTTAGGAGTTTGTGATCTGTTATTTCTTTGCAGTCATCCTAGCTCCCTTGGAAAACAAGAAAAGATGGCACTGTCTGGATGTGTTGGCGGGTGCTTACAACACAGGGCAAGTTCACACCTTTCACACTTCTAGAGCCTCAGCTGCCACTGTCATCTGGAGTTGGTCTTAGGGGACCAGAATTCTTTTAGGAAGTCTTGAGGTTCAGTTTCCTCCTCCTAGCTAGGTTACCTTGGACTTCTGGTCTTCTGCCTTAGCCTCCTAAGGGCTGGAGTTTGGGGCAGGTACCACACATGCTCAGATGTTTTCTAAAGACAGGAAGGGTCAGGAGAGACTGGAAAGCAGATTCCTGCTCTTCTTTGTCTCTAAAGCACATTATATACAGCTGTGGGGAACTAGAGACAGGGAGTTGGAAAAAGACTGTGACAGAGCCACTTTTTATTTATCTCTGTGTGATGGGTGCATGTGTGGAGATGAGAGTCAGCCTTACTTACTGTCCTCTCCTCCTTATTTTTTGAGACAAGGCCTCTCACTGAACTGTGTTTTTTGTTTCAGCTAGACTGCCTGTCTAGTAAGCCTCTGGGGTCTGTCTCTGCCCTGCTCAGTGCTTGGGGTACAAATGCATGCTGCCATAACCAGGGTGATGAGGATCCAAACTTTCCTCATGGTTGTTCAGCATGCATTTCACTGATTGGCCATCTCTCTGGCTCCCCAACTCCCTCCGCCCCTTTTTGGGAGACATAATCTTCCTATGTAATCCTGACTGGCCTTGAACGCAAAGATGTCGTCCTGCCTCTGCTGCCTGAGTGTTGAGATTAAAGGTGTGCACTGCTCAGTTTAGCAACTCATCTGTCTTTAAGTGAGTTGATATCTGGCTTGTTTTGGGTAGCAGCAGTTTCCTCTCCTGCCACTGACTATGGGCCTCTTGGAGTGTATACTGAGGATGGTGCTGTAGGAGATAGAAAAGGGTGCTCCAGTGTGAATACAATCTGACAGCGGCACCTCCTCCCATGTGGTTATAAGACCCCCAACCCTTCTGTCTGGAGATGCTTGCCCATCATGCTTTGTTCATTTTCTGGCCGACCCCTCTGTTCCACATTATAGATAGATAGATAGATAGATAGATAGATAGATAGATAGACAGAATGAATGAATGAATGAATGAATGAATGAATGAATGTAGATATTCACCAAATTTCATCTGCTTTTTTTTCTTCATTTCTTATGTTTTGAACAACAGAGTGTTTTCTGCCTACATCAAAGAGGTGGATGAGAAACCAGCCAGCACACCTTGGGGCAGCAAGATGCCTTTTGGTCAGCTGATGTCTGAGTTTGGTGGCAGTGGCACTGGTGGATGGGTGCATGGGGTCAGCTTCTCTGCCAGTGGGAACCGCCTGGCCTGGGTCAGCCATGACAGCACCGTGTCTGTTGCCGATGCCTCGAAAAGCGTGCAGTGAGTATTTGACATTGGGTGGAAGCCCTCAGCAGTACACTAAGGCTGCTTTCTTTCCCTGGTGTCTTTCGAACACTTCAAGAGCTGCAGCTGCCTTTAAAGTTCCAGATTGGTGTTTAATACCTGTGGGAGACTTTACGGAGTTGGTACTTCTTCCGGAAGCAGCCTTGGTGGAAGCCCTGGAAGTGTCCCTTTGAAGACCTTCCTGGTGTGCTGTCAACAGGGTGCTTTTGGAAAAGCCAGGCTATTCTGTGTCTTGTGAGCCTTTCCTGGGGGAGGGGTGAACAAGCACCTGCTCACCTGAGGCAGTGTGCCCATGATAACCAAAGGGTGATCCCACTGAGGTCCAGCTTCCCAGGCAGTGAGTTTCCTGGGCTCAGGCACAGAGTATGGGTGACCCCAAAGCAGACACAACATTGGACAGTCTCACCTGCCATGGATGATAGCTTATCCATAGAGGCATTGCATAGATGGGATCCTCTCCCCCTTCTCCGCTTCACTTAACCCTCCACACTCAATACACTCTAGCCTCTCCCTAGATCACCTGCAGTTAGGGCACAGGATATACAGCTAGCTGAGAGGCACAGGATAGAGCAGGTGAGGATTCAGTAGCTCTGCCCCCTCCTGCTAGGCAGTGTCAACAGGCCTGACCTTGAGGGTCTCTGGAAAATAGTCACAGCTTCTTTGGTGAAGATGATGGTTGTTAGGCTTGGAGGACAGCACTAATAAGTCTGTAACTGTTTCCTGATATCAGTGTTACCCACTAACCTGGTTGTAGCACCCAGGAGGTAGAGGCAGGAGGATCATGAGTTCAAGGTCAGCCTTGGATACATACCAAGAACCCTGTGTCAGAAAACCAGGACTGATGCTATTGCACCTGCCTGGCATGCACACACCTTGAATTCCTTTCTCTTACACCACCCAGAAATTAGAAAAGCAATCCATTCTTACTCTACACAGTCAGAGAACAATGTTGCCTTCATGCTATTTGGGAAGCCTCCTGGAAGAACCTGAATTGCAATGACTCATTCATGAGTATGTCACCCTCTCAGCCTGGAAGCACTATCAGATATGGGAGTAAAAGTTTGCTTGGTAGAAAGGAAGAAGCCTGAAGTCCTCCTCTTAGGAATCTTTGCTCTTTGCTGTGAGCCCTTCTCCATGGGTAGCTGAGGAAAGTTCATTATTATAATGGTGTCTTCAGACTGGCCACTGTGTGTCATGGTGAAAGGCTCAAAACATGACATTGCAGAGGTGATATTTTCCCTTCTAAGCTGAATTTACTATAGAAATTCTTTCGTGAAAGGTCACCCTTGTAAACAATACTGTCTGAGCTGGGCGGTGGTGGTTGGCACATGTCTTTAATCCCAGCACTCGGGAGGCAGAGGAAGGTGAATCTCTGTGAGTTTGAGGCCAGCCTGGTCTACAGAGTGAGTTCCAGGACAGCCTCCAAAGCTACAGAGGAACCCTGTCTGGAAAAACAAAACAAAACAAAACAAAACAAAAATACTATCTGGAACTCACTATATAACTGGGCTGATGTTAATCTTATGATTTCCTGCCTTAGCCTCCCTAGTAAATGTAGTTTTATAAGTCAGGCATGGTGGTGCTAGCCTGTAATTCCAGCAATTAGGAAGCTGAGGCAGGAGGGTCATGGGTTTGGGGCCAGCCTGGGCTACATAGTAAGATGTGAAACTGGGGAGATGGCTCAGTGGGTAAAGGTGACTGATGACCTGAGGTTGATCCCCAGAATCCACTTCATGGTGGAAGAGACTTATTGCCACAAGTTGTCCTATTATTCCACACACACACACACACACACACACACACACACACACCCCACACACCACACACCACACACCACACACCACAAAAACACACACACGTCTGTATTTAGTCCTTTTAGGCACAATAGGGCTGTGTCCTGCACTTCACACGCTCATCTTCCTTTTTACTCTCACTGGTATTTAATGGCAGTGCTGCTTCTGTACTGGCCATTGAAGTGCTTACAGTTCTCAGCACTTGCTACTATTGTGTGTCTGCACTTATTCTCACTAGTAAGCTGCCTGTTACAGCTCTGTCTGCTCCACCCCTCCCCTTCTCTAGCATAAACATGCCACAACATGAGCTTTGGATACTGTTAGTCCTTTAATTCTATAGCTGCTTGATTAAGGGGCCTCTTGAGACAGAGGCAGTTAGCTGTTTGGATGGAGTATGTGGATGTGTTTGGAGACAGGATCTCTCTAAGCTCAGGCTGTCCTCAAGCTCACTATGGAGCTCAGACTGTGTTGGTACTCCAGGTCCACCCACCTCTGCCTCCCAAATGCTAGTATCATAGGGGTATGCCAACTGCCTGCCAGCAGTTAGAGTTCAAAAATGCATCCTGTAGTCTGGGGAGGTGGCTCAGTGGGTAAGAGTTATCTTACAAGACCTGAGTTTAATCCCCAACACCCATGTAAAAGTCAGGCATGACCATGTGCCTGTGACCACAGCATTAAGGGGCAGAGACAGGCAGACTCTGGGAGCTTGCTGGCCAGCCTGTAAGCCAGAACACTGAGATTCTGGTTCAGTGAGAGAGCCTTTCTAGGGACTCAGACAGAAGGAGAGTGACAGAGCAGGACATCAGGTGTCCTGCCCTGGCCTCTACATACACCAGCATTCACAGTCACATTAAGAAAATGGCATAAAATGAGGTGCATTTAATTTATCATTAGGTGTTTTTCTGCCACAACTGGTTATTCACATCTGTATGTACACACACACACATGCACGCACGCATGCACGCACACACAGCTGTTGAGTGTGAGCTGGCTGAGACTAAGATTCATCTCATAGCGGTGACTCACAGGGCATGGCTGCCAGCAAGTGTCTCTGTATTGCCAGCACTGGAACTTGCTCACCAGCAGTAGCAATGGGAAGAGGCATGGCAGGTAAGAGAGGAAAAGCCATTGTAGATTGAGGTGACAGTCAGAGTCAAGATTCGAGGATTGCATGGACAAGAGGAACTGAGCCAGCTCATTGGGACAAAGGCAGAAAGGAAGGACTCCTTGGGGGCCATGAATAGTGATGCCTTAGCAATGGGCAGGGCACAGGCTAGAGAGAGCCAGTCCTTTACTCTTATTTGATTGATTGATAGAGGGTACTAGGGTCAAACCAGGGCCTTGCATGTGTTATATTCCCAGCCTCAAGGCCTCAGTTTCTGAAGGTCACTTCAGGGTCACCTCATGCTTGAGATTCCTGCAAGGAGAGGTCAAGGGGCTCTTTTTAGAGAAGTGTTGGCTAGTACAGCAGAAGCCATTGTGAGAATGGGGCCTTTGTTGTCCCCTGCCTATGAAGAAGCCGTGGGCTGCTGTTCCCCCAGTGTAACAAGTGTTCTTGTGTTCAGGGTTTCAACTCTGAAAACCGAGTTCCTGCCACTGCTGAGTGTGTCCTTCGTTTCAGAAAACAGCGTTGTGGCTGCTGTAAGTATCTGCCATCCTTGCAGTATGCCACGTGCAACTCTATGCCAGTAATAATGCGGGCTCTTTGACAGGCCCAGGAGCACATCCCTTCAGAGAAACAGTGGCTGGGAGAGGCCACAGGGGGAGCACTCTGCTGAGGGTTGGTAGCTGGGCAGGGGGCCCTCTGGGTGACTGACCTTCCATTTCAGGGCCACGACTGCTGCCCGATGCTCTTTAACTATGACGACCGTGGCTGTTTGACCTTTGTGTCCAAGCTAGACGTCCCAAAACAAAGCATCCAGCGCAACATGTCTGCCATGGAACGCTTCCGAAACATGGACAAGAGAGCCACCACTGAGGACCGCAACACAGCCTTGGAGACACTGCACCAGAATAGCATCACGTAGGTGCCACCAGCTGCCTGGGGCCTGAAGCCAGGGCACTGGGCTTCTGTAGAGAAGTGGCTGGCTAAGGTGCCCACTCCTTGTCATTTCCTTACAGAACCCTTCTGTGTTACAGGCCCCAGCATCCCTGAGGGAATGAGAGCAGTAGTAAGCCTGCTAAGGTCTTAGGTCCCACCTAAGGTCTTATTTTCAACTTGTGATAAAGGGAGTTGGCTGGATGTGGTGGCACAGACCTTTAATGCCACCAGTCAGGAAGCAGAGGAGGGTGTGAATCTGTGAATTCAAGGCTAGCCTGATCTACATAGCCTATATAGTGAGTTCCAGACCAGCCAAAGCTCCATGGTGAAGCCCTGTCTCAACAGCAAAAAATGAGCTGTCACCACCTCATCATTGTTGCCTTTTAAGGTGCATTTGGCACCAGGCATGCAGAAGGAGGAGTGTGGCTGCTGTCAGAGAAGGCCTAGCCAGCTAGTAGTTTACCAGTGTGTGTAGGAGGTAGGTTCATGCTGGGCATGGTGGCACAGGCCTGCAGTCCCAGTTCATGGGAGGCTGAGGCAAGAGTATTGGTAAAGTGCCAGCAAGATGGCTCAGTGGATAAAGGCACTTGCTGCTTAGCCTGACAAGACTGATGTGCTCCCAGAAGCTACATGGAGAGAACCGACTCCCAAAAGTGGTCTTCTGACCTACACACACACAATAAATTAGATGAAAATCTAGTGATATGTGTAAAAGTCATCCTCAGTTCACAGGCTGTACAGAAGTGTCTCTGCTGTAGCTTGCTGTCGCCTTCCTTAGAGGGCCAGGCTCTAGTCTGGACATCTGAGATGAGAAAGAGGAAACTGTCCGAAGTCTTGGATGCTTTCCACATGATTATCATCAGGTTGTTCTTTATCTGCTGGGCTCTGATAGAATCTGGAGGAGTGGCTGCCTGCCACTGGCATTGTAATGAGTCATTTTATTTATTCATTCTCTGGCGTTTGGGACTTAGGATTGAACCCAGAACCTAAGGCTTGCGAGGCAAGTGCTCCACAACCAAGCCACTGCAGCAGCCCCTAAAAAGACGAAATTTCAAATGCAAGGAGTCCTACCTGGCAGGTTGGTTTGAAAGGGCTTGTTAGGGACCAATTGGCTTCAGTCATGCTCTAGTCACAACTGTATCTAAAAATACAAAACAATTCTTTCCATCTGCATCACTACTGAGCCCCTGCCCTGTTGTACCTATCACATGCTATGAGGCCATGGTCTCTCCTTCTTCTGATCACTTGGTCTTTACCTGACATATGGTAACAAAACATCACACACACACACACACACACACACACACACACATATAGCACCTTGGCTGGCCTGGAGCTTGCTATGTAGACCAGGCTGGCCTATAATTCACGTATCTGACTGTCTCTACCTCCCCAGTGCTAGGATTAAAGGCCTGTGCCACCATGCCTCCCATCCTCTGTTTTTGACATAGGATTTCATGTAGCTTAGGTTGGTTTCAGACTCACTAAATAGTCTGGAGGGGGGGGGGGTCGAATGGGTGACCAGAGCATTGCTGTTACTGAGGACGGCCTTAAACTTATTTTCTGCCTCTACCTTCCAAGTGCTAGGGTACACAACTATAGGCACGTACCAACACACACAGGTGGTATGATAACAGGGATGCAACCAGGACCTCATGTATTCTAGGCAGGCACCCTGCCAACTGAGATAACATCTCAAGCTAGTGAGGGCCCTCACCCCCAGTTTTGAGACAGGGTCTTGCGATGTAACCCTGATGAATCTGGAACTTACTATATAGCCCAACTGTCTTTGGGATATTTTCTGACTCCAGCTGATGGGCCCAAGGCTGATGGACATGATTCAAGAGTGAAAAGAGGGCTGGAGAGATGGCTCAGAGGTTAAGAGCACTGACTGCCCTTCCAGAGGTCCTGAGTTCAATTCTCAGAAACCATATGGGGGCTCCCAACCACCTTGAATGAGATCTGGTACCCTCTGCTGGCATGCAGGCAGAAGACTTGTATACATAATAAAAAAAAAAAAACTTTTAAAAAAAAAAAAAAAGAGTGAAAAGAGAACTCATGTCCTTGGGCGGACCTTCAGTAGGTGAGGAGGGTTGGGCTCACTTCCACCACACACCTCACAATCTCTTGATTTTGCTTTTCTTTTAGTCAGGTGTCTATTTATGAGGTGGACAAGCAAGATTGTCGAAAATTTTGCACTACTGGCATCGATGGAGCCATGACAATTTGGGATTTCAAGGTATTTCTTCTTGGTACTGGTTTATGCAGCACTGGAAATGGAACCCAGGATCTCACACTTGTTAGGAGAATTCTCTTCCACTGAACTACCCAAGTCCTTGATTTCCAAGTGTTTGTACTGTTTCTGCCAAGTCTTGCTTGTGCCCAGACTCTTCCTAAAAGAAACATTTCTTCCTTCTTGAAATAGTGTCAGCTGCAGTGTATGGCAGAAAAGGTGGCCCCAGAATCTTTAAGCATGAGGGGACCACCATTCCCAGTGGTGGTTAATGTCTCTTAGATGGTATTTGTTCTCAAGAAGACTTGAATGTTGTTGAAGCAGCCTACATTTTTTGTGTAGATATATTTTTATAGTTTATACCAATTCACTTAATAAATACCACTGGGCATGGAGCTCACTCCTGTAATACCTACACTTGGGGAGCTGAGGTAGGAGTGCTGTGAATTTGACACCAGTCTGTGCTAGAGAATAAGACCCTGCTCCCCACCCCCCACGCTCTCACAAAATAATGCAAGGAGCTGACAAGATGGATCACACACACAACCACACATGGTATGTGTGGTAGAGCAAGAATAGTATAGGGGTCTGGAGTGATGGCTCAGCAGTTAAGATCACTTGCCTAGGACTCAGGGTTCATTTCCCAGCACCCTCATGGCAGCTCACAACTAAGTATAACTCCAGTCCCAGCATTCAGGGCCTTCTTCTGACCTCCACAGACCCCAGGCACACATGTGATACACATATATACATTCAGGCAAACATTATACACATGAATAAGTGAATCTTTAAAAAAAAAAAAGTGCATAGTGATGCATATCTTTAATCCTAGCACTTGGGAGTCAGAGGAAAGTGGATTTCTGTAAGTTTGAGGCTAGCCTGGTCTACAGAGCAAGTTCCAGGACAGCCAGGGTTGCTATACAGAGAAACCCTGTCTCAAAAACAAACAAACAAACAAAAGTGAGGTGGTGTGAGCCTACTAGGGACAGAGACATCCAGGCCTGGGGAACCAGCCTGGGAGCCAAGGTCTGGAGCATGCAGGGTGAGGAAGGTGGGCATGTGTACCTATCAGGGAGGGGTGTAACAGGGTGGCACTGCAGGGGTAGCCAGCAGCCAGTCCTCGGGACTGACCAATGTTCTGCTTTTCTCAAGACCCTGGAGTCTTCCATCCAGGGCCTCCGGATAATGTGAAGCCGAGGGAGCCTCTGCCATCCAGCATGGGGAACGGACAGGGCTTCGCTCACTCTACCATTCGTTCATATGGTGATGAGGATCGCCAGCCCATGGAAACACTGTCACACTATCAAGCAACTAGCGTGTGTTCGTGTGGATGTTGTGGGGAGAGTGTGGGTTTTCAAGATAGGGGTTTCTTTTTTTTTTTTCCTTTCGTTTCGTTTTGATTTTGCTATCTCATTCCATTTTTGACCAAAGCTTCTCTTTAAGTAGTTTATGTTGGAAGATTGTCACACTAACTTAAAGGGTAAGGGAAGTGTGTATTGTCTGCTAAAAAAATTAAAAATCCCAAGTGTGCAAACGTGCTTTGTTTTTGTTCTTGTTTTCCTTAGTATTCTTTCTGTTGTTAGCAGAGAAACACATCCATCTTCATTAGGTTAGTTCATTTTCGGGTCAGGCCATAGATCTCAGATCCTTAAACTGCACTGTCCCTCACAACCTTTAACCAGAGAGAACTAATTATTGAGCAAGGCATGTAGTACACACCCAAATCCCACCACCCTAAGGGCTGAGACAGGAGGATTGCAAAAACAAACAACGGAACATGTCTCACAGGGGAGAGGGTTGTCTGTTGACTGTTCTCAGAACACAGCATTCCTTCTGTGAAGATGGTGTCCAGAACCCTGTACTGGACAGCTGAGGAGCCATGGAGAATCCCCCTCCATTGATGGGCAAAGCTTTAGAGGCCGTGGCCTATCCAGGCTCTTTCCTGTGCTCTACCCATGAGCAGAGAAAAGGGGGCCGCTGCCATCTTGGCCTAGACATTCTTATGCCCAGCCTGAGATAGTTCCATCATGAGGACTAAGGATCATTCTAGGTGCAAATCTGAGTGGCAGAATCATTTGGGGGTTTGAGGCAGGAGGATTGCTATAACTTTGAGGCTACTCTGGTCTACGTAGTAGATTCTAGGCCAGCCAAGACTACACATATCAAGACCCTGTCTCCCAACACCAGAATCAGTGAATCTGGAGCAGCCTAGTGTGTGGCCATCTCTTCATCCTACTGCACAGGACAAGCCAGATAGACAATTTTTATGTGTTTATCTTTTAGAAACAGAGTCTCATGTAACCTGGGCTGGCCTGGAACTCACTATGCAAGCAAGAATAACCTTGAACAACTGATCCTCTGGTTTATGCCTCCAGAGTGCTAGAATTACAAGTGTGTTCAACTATATCTGGCCTCTGTGGTGCTGGGCATGGAACCCAGGGCCTTGTGCATGTCACACCAGCACTCTTCCAACTGGGCCTCAGCCCCAAGCTCCTGGGCAGTAGTTTATTCTCCCTTGGGGCCTGGTTAGCAAGGGTCTCAGGGCATGTTATGGTATTTGCAAAAAAAAAAGTGGCCCTTTTGATAACACATGGCAAACCTTCCTATCTCCAAGAGAGGGTGTGGCAGCAGTGCCTGGGTACTAGCCTGGTGACCCTTCGTTGATCAGCCCCGTGCTACAGCATCCTCTCTGTACCCCTGTTGTCAGGAGCTCCTCCATCAACACAGGCTTGTGCACTTGAATATGCCAAGGTAGGTGCTGACTGTGCACAAGCCCTCTGTAGAGTTGCTGTTCCCATTATACTTCAGGGCTGACAAAACTCATGTGCACAGAGGGGAGTGAATAACCAGCTCCCCAGAACCCCAGCAGTAGCCACTGGGCATGCTCCCCATTGGGCACCCTCCTACCTCAGCCTCCTGAGGGCTGGGGTTACAGATGCTCAGCACCACACCAGGATCTGGAACACCTTGAAGGGTTTTGCTCTAGACTTGAATTTCTCAGTTGTCAGTGGACTGTTCTGACTGAGAAGGTGGGTGTACAGCTGAGCACCCTTGAGAGCTGGGCAGGGATGCTATGGGCTTAGGCTGGTGGCCATTCCCTCTGTGGACCTTTGGCGGTAGGTGGCCAGAAGTTTCCCTTCTCTCCTGCTAACGGTTGTCAGACCTTAATCTCTTGTTCGGACCCTTGAAATGTAAGGGAGGTTATACTGAGCTGCCGAGAAAGGCTTCCCACTACCTTGGCCAGTGCACTCAGCTGTGCCCAGGAGGCAGTAAAGATGGGTGGGGATGGGGCTGAGAGCCAGCACATACTAATGGACAATGCTGTGCCAGCCCCACTGGCTCCCTCTTCCTAAGTGTGCATGAGGCTGCAGTTTTTAGAAACCAGAGATGCACAGCAGATAGAGCAGGGCATCGTCATCCCCAAGGCACTGTGCAAATTCCTGGAAGAGACAGAAAGCCATCCAAGGTGGTGGCCCCTGAGCTCCTTCCACAAAGGCTTGCTTCTCTGAAGTCATAAAGACGCCCCTCGGTGGTGCACAGCCCCAACACCAGAGAGCCTGAGGAAGGAGGATTTTGAATTCTGAGACCGGCTGAAACTGAGGTGGAAGGTGGGGCAAGGGTCAGGTGGGAGAAATTGAGCCTCCTATTGCTTTGCAGTCTGACGTTTCCTTTATGTGTTAGTTTTCCTTGTATTTTTATTTATTTTGTATTGGGAACATGCACACCACAGTGAACATTTGTAGATCGTAGGACAACTGGCAGAAGTCATTACTATTTGCATCACCTGTTTTTAATGGCTATGACAAATGACAAAAAGAAAAGGAAGAAGAGGGCTGGGGAGATGGCAGAGTGCTTGTTTTGCAAGGACCTGGATTCTAGACACAGAACTCACTTAAAAAAAAAAAAAAAAAAAAAGCTGGGCAGTGGTGGTGCACACCTTTAATCCCAGTGCTTGGGAGGCAGAGGCAGGCAGATCTCTGTCAGTTTGAGGCCAGCCTGGCCTACAGAGCGAGTGCTAGGACAGGCTCCAAAGCTACACAGAGAAAGCCTGTCTCAAAAAAAAAGGGGGGGGCACAGCAGCAGTGGCCTTGCATGCTTTTAATCCCAACACAGAGGCAGAGGCAGGCAGATCTCTATGTGTTTGAGGCCAACCTAGTCTATATAATGAGTTCCAGGATAGCCAGGGCTATGTAGAGAGATCCTGTCTTGGGGGGGGGGGGGCAGGAAGGGAAGGCTCTGGTTAAGAGCACTCCCTGTTCTTGCAGAAGACCTGAGTTTAGATCCATGTGGCAGCTCACAACCATCTGTGACTTAAGTTCCAGGGGAACTGAGGCCCTCTGTCCCCCGTGTGTACTGTATACATTTGGTGCACATACATGCAAGCAAAACACCCATACACATAAAAGTAATCTAAATAAAAAAGCTATCTGGACATGGTGGTGCACACCTTGAATCCTAGCACTCAGGAGGCAGGGGCAGGCGGATCTCTGTGAGAACCTGTCTCAAAAATAAACAAAAGCAGGTTTAGTGACATGTACCTGCAATCCCTCCCCTGGGAGGTGAAATCATTCCTGGGGTGCAAAGGCCTGCCAACCTAACACACTCAGTGAATTCCAGGCCAGTGGGAAACTCAAAACACAAGCTGTCTGAGGGAGCCTGACCTCTGGGGTCCATGCACATACCACACTGCCCCCACCCCCATTATCTGCTTTGCTCCATGGCTCCAGTCTATGGTCACTCAGCTCCTGGCAGAGTGTGACAGCACAGAGGGTGTAGTGGAGCCCAGCTGCTCACTTCACAGCCCATAAGAAGCAGAGTGAGCTATCCAGTCAGTGGATTAAGATGTGCCCTTCAAGACACTTCGCTGGTGACCTTCTTCTCAGTTCAAGTTCCTAGCATTGAATTCAGCTAAGAACTCAGTGAACTCACCCACTGCTGGGGGCAGCACCTTCCTGATCCAATCACATCTCAGTTGTGCTACCAGCAGGAGACTCTAATCGAAGGTTTCAGGAGACACTTAATAGCTAGTATTTTCCTCCATGAGGTAAGGGTCAGGGGCAGTGCCTGAAAGCCTCACTTCACAGATGTGGAAACTGGCAGAGCAAGGGTTAAGTGGCAGAACCAGAATTCTATTCAGTTTTCTAGTGCTGCTTTATCTATCATTCCTTCATTTTATGGATGGTGCTGAGTGACTCCCACATTCAGTTCAGCTTCCTGTCTGAGGATGGGAGAGCCAGTGACACGAACATGTCTGCTGCAGCATGTTAAGTTTCTTCATCCCATCAGACTACCTCAGGTCCATTTCCAAAGCAGGAAGAAGCTGTCCTCAAACTGACTTAATAAAGCGGGGGGCGGAGGGGGGGGCAGGGGTGCGGCTCAGTGGTACAGCACCTACCTAGAATTCCCCAGTGAGGGCTGGGATGTGACTCAGAGGTAGAGCACTTACCTAGAATCTCCCAGTGAGGGGTTGGGGTGTGGCTCAGTGTATGTGCAGGGCTTTAGGTTCCTTACCCACCACCATTAGAGAGAGAGAGAGAGAGAGAGAGAGAGAGAGAGAGAGAGAGAGAACTTGGTTCAGGCTTCTCAACCCTCCTGAAGGCAGCTAGGCTCAAGCTGACCAGGGTTGACCAGGGCTCTGGTTTTCTCTGCAGGATTGCCTTGTTCTGCTTTGAGGGCTCATCTCTCTCTTCAGGACGCCTACCCTTCACCCACACAGCTCACCCAGAAAGGGCTTCTCTGCAGTGAGTGGCTTGGCTTTACTTTGTTCATCCTCCAAAGACACTGGGTCATTTTAGGTCACTAGTTCAGGACATAGGACATGCCACAAGCTTACAGAGTCAGATCACTCAAGGCCTCCTGGGACCATTCCCCAGGCTTTCACTCTGGGCTCTTGCAGAGCTGAGCAGGGACAGAACAGAAGCCAGGGAAGCACTTGTCCCACGGGAAGAAGGCTACTGGTGCAGTTTTTTCCCTAACCAAACCAAAGAAACCTGGCCTTGCCAAGGCTACAGAAACAAACCTGCAGAACAGCAAGGTGGGGATCCCGGATCAGGCTCCTCTGCCTTGGTGGCAGGAGCAGTAACTCATGGAAATGCGAGCTGAGCCTGGGCACAGAGGGAATGGAGGCAGGAGAATCACATGTCCAAGGCCTGCCTGAGTTCAAATCCAACCCCAGAAATTTAAGAAGACAATGTAAAAAGTGAAAACTGGGAATGTAGAATGTTGCTGAGGGGTCCTGAGTTTAAATCTCAAACCACAGTAAGAAAAAAAATTTCACTGGGTATAGGCTGTGGGAACCACTCCCAACTTAAAACTTTTTTTATTTCACCAGACATGCTGACACACTGCTTTAATTCCAGAACTCAGAACTCGGAGACAGAGGCAGGTGGATCTCTGAGTTCGAGGTCAGCCTGGTCTCTAACAGTGAGTTACAGGACAGCCAGGGCTACCCAGAGAAACCCTGTCTTGAAAAACAAAAACAATCAAAAAAAAAGTATTACATTTATTGATTTATCGTGTGTGTGTGTGTGTGTGTGTG